AGTGTAGCCTAAGCCAGGCTTTAAGCGTGCTTGGAGCTGCATGTGCTCAGGGTTTCCTTCCTCTGGGTGCTTCCCAACGCTGCCCTTGCATTGTGAGAGTTGTCTCCCTGGAGTGTTCAGGAGTAGTTAGTTTTGGCTTGTTGACTTTCTGGTTGGCTTCCCTGGAGAGGTGGCAAAAAAGTCACCCCTCCCTGTGCCTCTGGGAGTTGGTAAGGCTCTGGCTCTGGTCCCATAGAACTCTACCGCTGATATGACTGAGTAAATAGTACCATGTCCGTGTATAGCTTCATGGAGCTACCAGGGCTCGCTCAGAAATTGGTATTTTGTCACATTCGACGCTTTTTTTTTTTGGTGAAACACTAGGTAGCTAAAGTACCTGATGCTAAAGTACTGGAGCTGCCAAGCCTTAGGGAATAGCATTAGGCTTCTGATATTCACTGAAACCTTCCAGGAGCCAAGACCAGAATCTGGCTCTCTCTCGATGAGACAATGAGAACTTGAAGAACAGAGATCTAAATAAGCAACTACTTGAAAGAAATTAGTAAACCTGAGAAAACCAGGCAATCAATCATTTACACAGAAAGCACATGAGCTGTGACGCTCTTCACTGCCACTATGTGGTCGTCTAGGCCCGCCGGGGTCACTGCCAGCCTGAGCAGAGTCTGAACAGGGCTTGTCTGAAAGGGAAAAAAATGATTGAAACTTCATAGCAGTAAAGTACAGCCCAGAAGCAACAGGAAAAATCAGCTTGGGCTTACAGCCCAGTAATCACAAAGAGCTTGGCCCATAGAACAGCAAGACGCCTAAAATGCAAACTATGGGAGTGTACATGGGTGTGCAAGAACACACACTTAATGCATGAGATTAATATAGCATGTATTAATATAGCATATATTAATATAGCATATAATGCATGAAATTATATAGCATGAGCTATACACGGTACCAGATAAAAACCAGAAAGCACCAGCTGATGTCCCAACACAAGTCATGAACACCCACTGATGCAAATGCAGCAGATGCAAAAGTAGCGAGGAGCCCACCCCAAAATGCAGAGGACATCAAGGCCACACCACACCCCAAAAAAAAAAACAGGGAAAACCCGTCTCTTGATGACCTTGTTTTAGTTAGGTCTGAGGGCTTGTTCATTATAATACTACTACTACTACTAATTGCATACAAGATAGGCATGGGGGCAAGCAGGAAGAGGGTATATCTGAATAGTAGTAATGGTGAGGAGGCCCTGTAGTCAAAAAGATAGTGCCAGGTCTTAACCCAGCTGCATGACAAGACTGGCGTCGGTGGTTTGAGAGACTGGTATCTCTCAAACCATGGTAAGCTGTCTTTTTCAGCATCTTGACTCTATTTTTTCATGAGTTGACTTGAATCTTTTTGTAGCAGCTTGACCGCATCTTTTCACAGTGGCTAGTTCTTGCTGCCATCTTCTCATCTTAGGCAGTAGTGTAGAGTCCTTTCTTCATCTTGCTCAATTCTTCTTTCTTCCTTTGCTGTCTTCATACTCGTTGTTACTTCATTTTGTCTTCATTTTCTGGAATTGACTCTTTTTTTTTTATCATCAAGCTGCAGGTATCGTTGTCACTGCCAGGACACATTTCATAGTATAGTACTTGGAGTCTGTAAGTTCTGGGTTTAGTATGCTCAGGTCGCAGGTCTTTGTGGCGACCATCTTCACCGCAGTCTTTTGTTCTCTGGTTATTCTCATTGATGCATAGGCTGTTTTTATGTCTTCTTTCAGGAGTTTCCATATATAGTATTGTCTTTATTGATAGTGACAGTGTCTTGGACTTGTATGGCCTGATTTGGAGATGCTGTTGCCTGTGACATTCACTGATTTTTCTTCATTGGATGATGTAAAGGTTTTATCGTTGTAGGGTACAACAGATGGTACAGCTGAAGGCAAGTCAGTGGGTGGAGGGGCTGGAATTGAAGTTACAAGATCAGTAGATACTGTTATTGTTGCAGTCTCTTGAGGTGGAGGTTCAGGGTTGGCTTCCATCACTGGTGGTGGGGCTTCAGAGATGTTTGGCATTCTAAGGGCTTCATCTGCATGAGCACAGGTGGTAAGCTGTTGCCTACTAATAGTTTGTTGATTATCATGATGAAGAGGCTGGGTCATTTTTGGTTACTATCTGCATAGGCTGTAATGACCTGAATGTGGATGTTTGAGATGGGTGTCACAGATTATGTTCACAATCAAGTTTGAGGTGCTGTTGGCTAGTACCTGTCAAGCATTTGTCATTTGCTGTTGATTTGTTGAGGTTTATCATGGTAAGGTTGGAAATTGAGTTTGGTTGGTGTCGAAGGGGATAGCAGCTTGTAGTTTTGTGACACCATTTAACTTGGCCTTGGCCTTGATTTTTTGGAGTTCTTCCTGCCTTTGTGGACACTGTTGTGGCACTGCAGAGGTTGCACTTTCTGGTGGTGCTGGAGCAGTTTTTGTAGTTGTAGCTTCCTGAGCAGATGCATTGTACTTCTTGCAAAGTGATCGTACTTGTAACACTTCAAGCACAGCTTGAGCTGGTAGTATATTTCCATAGTGATTTGTGCGGATACTGAGGTAGTGCCGAATCATTTGAAGCCACTCTCACCATGTCTTGGGTTTGGTCAGTCATTTCAAGCGTCGGGTTTTAATGTGGGGTGTTGGTTGTCATTCTTCTTGATCATGTGGGCCGAAATAGCTGTAAGAGATGGGTTCACTTCATTGATGTGTCATTCAATGTCCACTTCAGCTTCTGCTGCTATCCACCAGTTCAGTCTGTAGATGAAGACCATCCTGGCTTCTTGGTATTTTAGTGGAAGTACAGTATTGGTGAAGAGATTGCCTCCTGGAGTACAGCCTCCAAACATAAGTGTTTGGAGGTTTTCACCATTTGTGATAACAGTTGCTGTGTTCTTGTAAATGTGGATGTCAGTCAGCCCTACTGTTGTTGCTCTGTACATTGCTATTGCAAGTTTGTGCATAGAGCACTTCTAGACTCCAAGGAGCCTGACTTTGTCTTTAAAAGTCATGGTAGTACCTCTCCAGCATCGGCACAAAACAGTGTTCTATGGCAACATCTCAACGGCTCGGATTGGCAGTGAGGAGCTGTGTGTGCACGCGTGTCCCTCTGATGATAGGTGAAGAGTGTCAGTCTTCCATCCATTTCTGTTGGCTGGCCCTCGGAGGTGTTTCCGGGTCTTAGTTCGTTGGTGAGCTCCACCCTATGGAAAGTTTCTGTGGTGTCAATACTAATGGCTTATCGGTTCACATGATCTACTATGGATTCCGCTCTAATGCTATGGTCATGTGTTTGTTCAGGGCCTGTCTCCTTTTTCTCCCCATCGTACTGCTTGCTGAGCCTTTCAGCTCAAAAGTCTCAGGGTTTTCTAGGGTCTATAATGATCTGGTGTCCAACAGTCTATGGGGGTTTTTCTTTCTCTTCTGGGTTTGTTTCCTTCACACATTTTATTTGTGTACTTTGATCCCAATTTCTTGTTTCTGTTTTCCTTTTTTTTTTCACCCATTTGGCACATTTTCTACTGTTCCCATGCTGGGTGCACGGTCTTCTTCAGGCTGTGTTGCCAGACACCTTCAGGGTGTGTACCCTGACACTCCTGATCTAGAGTATCTGGCCATTTCTGGACAGTGATCATGTTGGTTCTTGGGTTTGAGCCTGTTGCTTTTCCTGGCATGGTGTGCATTGGTTATGGTTATTGAATGGTGTGTCAGGCATTTGCCAAGCTGTGTACTTTGGTGCATGGGTTTCCTGCCTCTGTACCTTTCATGGTTTGGGGCTCAGGTTGGTTGGCTTGTCTTGGCCTTCAAATATTGCCTGGTGTCTTGCTGACCTGGCTGTGGCAGGAATGTCTCTTTGCCTGCAGCTCTTTTGGTCTCTATATCTTCCGTCGGGCATTATCCCTGCTTCTCGTGGGGCCTGAGTTTTGGGTCCTCCATGCCAAGATCTGTCCATTGGTTTTCTGGCATCCCACTGGGTTTTTCCTGGGTTTTGAACAGCTCATGATCTGTCCTCGCTCCATTGCTCTATGTTTTCTGGCTTTTGCTCAGTGTTCAGGCTCGGGGCTTGTTTTGAATGGTCCACTCAGCTCGGGGGGTCTTCATCAGCCTTGCTACTTTTGTTATACTGTATTTCAGTATCTGTCATGCTGGTTCAATTTGTGCCTAGAAATGCATCATGATGTAAAATTCAATCACTACAGCATGTAGTTTTTAATATTGGATGTGTATCTGCTGCATTTCTGTTAACCCTACATTAGTACCCTGAAGTGTTTGTTCTCTCCAGACATATAGCATGATTCCCTAAGGCTTGACAGCCCCAGTGCTTTACCTCAGGGAGCCACAGAGTCATCTACCAGACAATGGTCGTTCACTACGATCAACACTTGATTTTTCTGTGCTAAACAAGTTAAAAAAAAATTCTTCTAATTTGCTCTTGTATTATACGATAACAGTATTATCGTTAACCTATTTCCTACTCTCGGTAAATTGAGAACCATTAGGCTTTAGGAAATTAATAATGATCCAAACACTTTGTAATTTATGTAAAGCTTACTTCAAGACTAACATCAACATTTTTAAATTTTTGTCAGCTGGAAAAACTTCGTACAATACTCTATTTTCTTGTTTTGGCTTTAACATTATTCAATATGCTAGTATGAATATAACATTCTGTAAATAAAAATAGTTGCCACTTGTTACACTGAGAGCTGAGAGTGTGTGGAGATACAGTACTAAGGATCTCAGAATACTTGTGTAAGTAGGAAAGGTATAAACTAAGAAACAGAGAGAGAAAATAAAGAAGATAACAGCCGGATTATTTTCCCATTCTTTAAGGTTTAGTATTGGTGTGGAGAACATGTAGGCAGACCATGTGTGAGTGTGACCATATCATACATCACCAAACTCATTTGTGAGTGAGACCCCGAACTTCCAAGGAAGGTAAACCAGAGGCTCTGAGGCAGACTGTTCTCTGTGTTTTCAGGACGTGAATTTCACACACGAGGGGCCGCTGAGGTGTGAAGGTAACAAAGGTCAGCTTGATTTCATATGCTCCAACAATTGCCTTTAAAATATATACTGTACTGTATTTCTATTAGAAGAATTACAGCATCATAGATTCTTCTTGCAACTGTCAAGGGAAATTAGGTTAAGAATTATCATATAGTCCCAGTCTCTGTATGCTTTATTTGGTAATTTTGTAAATCCTGGCATGACGTTAGGAGCAAGGGGTAATGTTCTGCAAAACCTTATGTGACTTGCCATGCTAATCTTTGTGAAAACTTCCATAGTAATTGTGGCTCCATTCTAGGCTTGAGACACATCCAGTTTGCATCAGTAACATGGCGAAGCAGTTTCTTTTATAACCAAGCTATTTATTATAGAATGTTCACTTCATCATTGTATTTCAAATTGAAGTTTTCAACAGGAGCATGTGACCAGAAGACACAACCTAGCCGTGGGAGATGCACGCAATGGTTTACTAATCTTGGAAGAAGCCCACATGGTACTCCAAATAGCCCAACCTACACGAATTGATTCCTTGATGGAACTTATAAAAAACAAAAAGGACAAGGATGAAGACGACCCTAAGAAAAATAATGGAAAAGATACTGAGCAAAGTCAGAATCAGAGAGACAAAGGGGAAGGTAGCAAGTGAAAATTTAACTACCTTCATAGACCTTTTTTCATTCAGGGATGATATATCAGAGTAATAAAACTTTCATGTGTAAACTTTATACGATTGCTACGGTGAAAGTGCGTGTGAAAGTGTGGATGAGTATGCATAGAGATACCAGTCATCAGACAGCTAAGAGGGAATGCTGGTGTGCCTTCAGGAGAAAAGTTTCAAAGGTAACAGATTCATTGCCATACAGACATGTGATAATCTACCTTGAATGTTATTCTTCATGAATGTCTGATAAATGTTGGTTTATGGGTATAATTGAATTGTATGAAAAGAAAATTTATCATATATAGTACCTCATTAAAATTGTCATGTTTTACTAGATTTGGTGTTTATGTATAATCAATTTGACCAGATAGCAATACAGTTTCTTGTATAATTGTATGACTAATATTTATTGAAAAATAATGTTATAATTAAATTGGTCCAATTTTTTTTTTATCAGAGGAAATATTTTATTCTTCTTATAAATGTCTTATCAAGGTGAAGTTAACAATGGCATGAAAGAACAAACAAATATTTAGCTATTTTGCTGCTACAGCATACCCATTGATTCATGTGTAGAAGTGACTTTCCCTTCCTCACTACACTTGTAGATCAAGAACCAATTCATTTGTGCCTGAAATTAAATTAAAAAACTGCATTTTGCTTGTATAGCAGTAAATTAGAAGATTGCATTCCCAAGCATCAGAAATTTGACCTTCATGTTTAGACTAAACCACAGCATTAATATATAGTACTTGGAAAGTTACTATATTTGAAGTACTGTACCAATTAGAGGTACAAATTGGCCTAGGACCACAATATACAATATACAGGATATTGTATACCCCAGGATACAATATACAAGCTGCCTAACTCCCAAGTACCTATTTACTGTACTGCTGAGTGAACACAGATATCATGTCAAGGATATATCGCCTCGACTGGAAATCAAACTCGAGGCCATTCAGTTGTACTGTATTATAATGATTTAAAAAAAATAAAGAAAGTAAACTTTATTTGTAGGTAATATTTTGGTTGTAAGAGCTTCATTAAATGTAACACACATTCACAGGCTAACTTTTATAAAGGATAATAATTAGGTTTCATGTCAGTGACACAAAGATGCATTGAGGTTAAAATCTTGAGAGAGTGTGTGTGTGTGTGTGTGTGTGTTACATTTTAAGTACAGTATTGATTTAGCAAGAGGGGCAGCAATTATGAAATTATCTTGAGTCTATGCAGGGATGTTTTAAGTGTTTGATGGCTCCAGATTCAACTTAAACACTACAACACCACTGAACAGAATCAAGGGTTCAGATTCACGAAGCAGTTATGCAAGCACTTACGAACCTGTACATCTTTTCTCAATCTTTGGCGGCTTTGTTTACAATTATTAAATAGTTAATTAGCTCTGAAGCACCAGGAGGCTGTTTATAACAATAACAACAGTTGATTGGCAAGTTTTCATGCTTGTAAACTGTTTAATATATGTAACCAAAGCTGTCAAAGATTGAGGAAAGATGTACATGTTCGTAAGTTCTTGCGTAACTACTTCGTGAATCTGGCCCAAGGAAAATTCACCATTTTAAATCGTCTTACTAAATTAATATTGTTCTTTAAAATATGAATGGTAACACCTAATGTCTCATGTTTCAGAACCCACCCCTAATTCACCTCACCTCCCTTTTTGCCAAACAAAATCAGTGTGTGATAGATCAGTGAGAACATTCTTGAGCAATATAGTGCACCCAAATCGCACCTCTGGCCTGCCTTATATTTTTTTCTGGTTTATAAGCACTAGCCGTTTTCAAAGGTGGGCACGACTAAGTTCCATAGGGACCGAATTCCTGGAACTTGGTCCATTGTGAGAACAACTGGAAAATTTAGTCCTTTTTTATTGCCTTTCCAAACAGTCTAATGTTCCTCAGTTTTCATTTTATATATATATGTATATATGTATACAGTGGAATCTCAGTTCTCGTATGCCCCTGTTCTTGTATTTTTCGGTACTTGTACTCGATTTCTCCAAAAAATTTGATTCGGTAATCGTTGTTTGTTCATGCACGTATTGGTTCACTGGGAGCGTGGCACTTCAATTTACCAGCGTCTCCCACCTAGTGATGATCGCGCTTGAATTCTTTGTGAAGAATTTCATTGTTTTTGTACTTTTTGGGTTTCTGAACATAGAAGTTCTTATTATATATCACACCATGGGTTCCAAGAGAGTCGGTGGTAAAGTTCAACCTAAGTAAATAGTTGTGAGGATGACAGCAGAGGAAAAACAAGTGATTATTCATAGTGAGCCAATGTGATGTCTCGCTACAGACAAGTGTGAAAACATAGGGAAAAAGAAGTGTCTATAGACAGATTCTTAGTAAGACAAGCAAGCAGTGAGCCACAACCAGGTCCTAGTGGTATGGCTGCAAAACATAAGAGAGTACCCCAAAAATGTCATCACTGCTGTTATAATGGAAGGGGACTTCCCTTCCAAACACTAACACCTCTCCTCCCCCCTTCCTCACTGTCTTCCATACGCCAACAAGAGTCCTCAATCAAAGTAAGGTACCTAAGAGTATTATTTTGTATAAAATGTATTTTTTAGTTAATATATTTGGGGGTGTGGAACAGATTAATTCAATTTACATTATTTCTCATGAGGAAAATTCCTTTCGGTTTTGTATTTTTCTGTTTTCGTACTGTCTCTGGGACCGGATTAACTACGCAAACTGAGGTACCCCCTCCCCCTTTGTATATAATATAAAATAAAAACTAGAAGAATTTCTGATTGAGAGACCTGTGAAACTGAAACCCTTTATCATCAAAGGCTTAATCACCAGCCTGGCATTGACGATCTTGTTCATCTAGTTCTATACACCTATCCTCTCTAGTGCTGCCATGGAGAGGCTCTTCTCATTGGAGAAGCAGATCCTCAAGCCAAAAAGATCACAGGTCAGTGATAGATCTTGCTTGTTGTCTTGAAAGGAAACTGAACCATTAAACTTGTTGAACTTTTCCCAGTTTCGTTATACTAATTTTATATTATATTACTCTATTTGGAATTTAACTTTATTTTACTAAAAATTAAATATTAATGATTTTTCGTGTCTTCAACTGCATATTTAGTTTCAACTATATAAATCATATATATAATGAAACAACTGAGAGTCAAGTTGGTCATAGTTCCATTCTTCTGAAAGGGACAATGATTGGGACCTTCAGTCCATTTTGAGACTAGGACTGCAACTGATACTGTTAGTTCTTTTAAAAAAATGGGGTGCCCACCTTTGCCCATTTTATATAAATATAAAGTAAGTTTAATCCCATCTTGGTGTACAGTATCTACGTCATTATCAACACTTTGTGCTCTCTTCAGCTAACAGTAATTAAGAATCGTGGATGTAAAATGACAAGTATATTGTGTTCTGGGGGTAAATATGGTGCTGAATAATCTAATCAGTGTAGACAATTTGTCACAATAACGTGACTGAAAATAAAATGCCCAACCCACAAATGTAAAAATAAAAACATCAGAAGAAATGATGTTTTGGTTCATTCTGGACCATCATAAAGTCCTCATTATGCAACTTTATAATGGCTCAGGATGGACTGAAGCATTATCACTGCCTTTATTTTCAGATTTGTGCGCTGGTTGTTGTTGTTGTTTCAATTCCTGCCTCAAGGCCTAAATGTTCTCCCTTCACCCTCCACCAAAAAATATTTTTTATATTTATATATCTATATATACTGTACAGTATATTATATATTATGTCGTACCTAATAGCCAGAGTTTCCTAATATGCCAAATTTTCATAAATACTGAATACGAATTTTTAAATTTATGTTGTAGATTGCTAGTTTTTCATTATAATATTCATTATATGCATCTTTGTCCAGTTAATTTTAACTTGGAGACCTGAACTAACCTACCTATACCAGTTATTTCCCAATACTGCCTAACATTGGTAAAACTAGGTCTAAGTTATAAATTCTTATTGTCAATATAATGTTAATTTTATATTTAAAAATATGCAAAATCACTCTGGCTGTTAGGCAAAACAGGTTGTGCTTACTAGGCCAAGTAGTGTGGTTCTGGTTACTGTATTTGGTAATACATTCATACAGTACATACATGTAGCAAATTCTTTTCTTTTCTTTCTGAATTGGAAAAATGCTTCCAGGGTGGAAGGGGATAACATTTTTAAAGCTCAACTTTGAAGGTGTTGAGAGTAATATAAAGGTTAATGTCATTCACATACATTACTTATAAAAATGTAATTGTTTCATACCATTGTAAATTTTAATTTGATAGACAGAACTGATTAGGGCAATTTGGACAATCCTATCATTGTTGCCAAGTGGGAGAGGAGATTTCATGAAGCGTAGATGATGGTACAAGTTGGCCCGTTCACAAGTCCAAGTAGAATTAGTCGGTTCTCAGCTATAGTCTTTTATCTCCTCGTGGTGCAGTGGCAGTGTGTAGGCCTTATACATCTTGGATCCGAGGTCGAGTCCTATATTACTCCTTAAAATTTATACATGTCTATTGACATGAATGAAGTGTCATAACTTTTACTTCTTGATATGCAGTTTTTGTCCTTTACCAATGAGCTAAAATAATTTTGTAATATTAAAGAAAAATTATATTTTTAGAAACTAATCACCCAATTTTCTGGTAACAATTTCATGGTGAAAAACAGATGTCATCTCATTGCAGAAATCCCTCGCCAAGACGGTGCATCTGTTTCTCTGCTCTCTCATAGTCAATGTACAATGCTTTTATTTTTATGTGATATACAAATTTGCCATCAGAGTTCTCTTGTATAGGGCCAGTCTTTGCCTTACAGTGTACAGTATTGGAAAATCAGCCTTATTGAAGTGTACCCTGAGGTTTAAATTTTGTATCAACATCAGTGACTAATATGTAAATGGTAATGCACAAAATAATAATTATAATATTGTAATTACTATATTTATTCTGGAATCAGTATAGGGCCTCATGTTTAAAGTTATTTTAACTTTTGCCAATACCTAACATGAAATGTATTTTTATACTGAGTTAGTGGCAAATCAATATTTTTTTGTTCAATATAACGTGAAACATTGTAAAGCGGTTTATTTTTTACCACATATGTACAAATGTGTCTGTAGAATATTTAAATTAAAAGTCTTTCATTAATATTTAAATCTCTCAAAAGGACATTCATTGTACCTCATATACTAACAAGCCATATTTTTTTGCAAGGACTTTGAGACATTATAGTACACTAATGAATATTCATGAAAACTCTTGTAAACCAAACATAATTTGTTTTACTTTAATAATCGACTTTGGCCAAGAATTTTAATTCGTGTTTGTAATTCAAGTTTTTGTTTTGCACAGTTTGGTAGTCCATCAGGGTTTTCATTTGCATTGTTTAATTATTATGTTTGTTTTTCTCACTCAAAAAAGCCTTTGCAAATTTGTTTGAGACGTGGAAACAATGCTAATGTATTAAGAAAAAAAAAAAAAAAAGTACCTAATTTGGGATATAGAGTAATGGTGTGTGCGGCAGCAGGAAGCAAGTGGTAGGGGATAAGGCCCCGATGCAACCAGCATGTCAAGAGTGAACATGACACTCGGGTAAACCTCATAAAAAGTACTTAATTGTATTAAGTAAT